GGGCTCACCCAGAAATCCAGGATGATCTCACTTCAAGATCCTTAACTGAATTACATCTGCAAAGATTCTTTTTCCAAATAAGGTCACATTCTGGGGATTAGGACTCAGCTATATCTTTTCTGGGGGGCTTATTCAACCCCCTACAGTGGGAGGTGCAGGTGAGGCTCCTGTCTGAGACAGGGCAGGGAAAGCAGGGAGGGGAGGAGGCTGAGAGTTCTGGACCCACAGGCCTCCGGTGCCTGGGCCTTGCCTATGGCACGCTTCTCATCTATCTGCAAAGAACGGTCCTTCAGGGAAATGGGAGTGTGCCAGCTGGCTCGCTGGGAGGTGGGGCCTGAGTGAGTGGGCCAGGAAAGAGCCCGCTGACAGGTAGGGCCCATCCCGGCTTTGATTCATTGACTGTCTGAGCAGGAGCTGGACCGATCCGCTAGGAATTACAAAAATGCTTCGCACATATTTTCCTCTCGCTGGTGGTTTTCTGCTCGGGTTAACCCCTGCTGGGCCCCTGATCCCATTGCTTGTCTGTGTCTGCGGCTATGGCTCTCTCTCTGCATCTCACCCACCCCCTAGCTCCAGACACTCTCTCTTCACATCCCCTCCCCTCTCCCCCAGTCATTGACTCTTGGCTGGAGTGGGCAGGGCTTGACCACGTCCTCATAATTGAAATTTTTGGCTTCCAAAGCAGGGTGGTGCTTCCCCAAGTCAAAGGGACAGATTCAAGCTGAGGCCTCTGCTAGGGCAGGAGGAAGCTTGAGAAATGTCCTGGATGCCAAAGCCAATGACCAGGAAAAGACTTTTGCCTGGGTCCCAGAGGACCCAAGTGGCCTTGTAATGAAGCAGACTTAAGGCAACTGATCCCCAATTTCCTGCCCCAGTCATGTTGCCTTCCTTCCTGCCCCTGCCTCATGGCATTCGCAGACTCTTCCCAGAGGGAGGAAGTCCTTCATCAATAAAAAGTGCTTTAAACTACTGGAGTCAAGGCAGAAGCTTCTGAGGCATACTCAGTCCCTGTTCCACCTTCAAAAGTCCACCCTTTGTCAGGCTAAAGCCCCAGTTTGTGCCTGTATCCTCCTGGCCCTTGTAGGACCCCTTTCATTGGACTGTGTCTTAGTCCATTTCAGTTGCTGTAACAGAATATCACAGACTGGATAATTTAAAGAAAAGAAGTTTATTTCACTCATGGTTCTGGAGTCTGGGAAGTGCAAAAACATGGCACCAGCATCTGGTGAGGAACTTTTTGCTGTGTCATGACGTGGCAGAAGACGTCACATGGTGAGAGCTGGTGTGTACATTAGGTCAGGCCTTTCTTCCTCTTCTTCTAGCCACCAGTCCCCATGATGAGGGCCCCCCACTGACGATCTTACCTAATCCCAATTACCTCCCAAAGGATCCACCACCAATCAACACATGGATTTGGGGATTAGGTTTCCAACACATGAAATTTGCTGGACACATTCAAATCATAGCAAGCTTCATTGGATGTCGGGCACCAGCTTTGGCAAAGATGGCTGCAGAAACAGCCCTCCAAAAATCCACATGCCTGTGCAGAAGGCTGTGGCTGGAGGAGAGGGCATCACATCACCCCTGTCCCCCCAGGAGTCTCTAGGGAGAAATTCCCTTTCGAAACCAGTCCCAGGACAGGCTCTGCTTTCCCTGAGACTCCTCTTTTTTGATTATGAGAATCACATAACAAGATCACATTTCCATTTTTCTTTCGGCTGCCAGGAATCTCAGAGCCAACTTTGAAGCTCAGCCATGGCAATTATGTGGCCCCTTGTGATCTGGAACATTTATTTTCTTTCTTTCTGTGGTCTTAGTTTTCTCACTCTGTTTATATCCTTGCTCATCCTGATTCTCTATTTTATCAGCATTTTCATTAGGTACCTTCTGCTATAAGCTGCTTTACATGCTGTTTGGAATAAAGAGGACTGTAAATAGGGAAATAAATACATCGTGGTTCCATTATGATGTTAATATTTATTGTTGAAAATGTGATTGTTTAGCAAAATAAATGAATTCCCATCCTGCATTGTCTTTGACTTTCGAATAGAGGTTACCCGGGAGACTCTCTTTCTTCTGCTAGTAACCCTTGAGCTCCTGTAGATCTAATGCCTGGTGCACAGAGGGCCTTGCCAGTCTTGACCAGGTGAGTGGATGGTATTGACCATAAAGATGAGAAAACATCAACAGCATCTCTCACAAGCTGAGTGATGTCAGGGAACCCTCTGCCTCCCTGGGCCTCAGTTTCCTTATGTGAAATAGAGGGAGTCACCTAGCCACAGCCTCACTGAGTGGTTGGGAGGATCTCGTGATGGGTGAGAAGATGCTTTGTGAACTGTAAGATGTAGGGCCTCGTAGAGCCCATGGGCTTATGTATCCTGTGGGTAGCTGTTGGCAGTTGTGCTCTTGGGATTGGAGGAAGGGTGGTGCCATGTCCTGTTGAACTCCTGAGAGCCGGCTGGGCAAGAGGGCTGCCCCGCTGGCTCTACCACATGCCTGGGGTCAAGGGGCCTCTCTCTCAAAGCATCCTCTGGGCTCAAGTTACCATGAGGGGATCAGACAGCTACTAGGACATTTGTCTGCCAGGCTCGGCCCCTCCCCATCCACCTGGCCCCGACCTTGAACTCAGGGCTGTCAGAATCCTCCTTCCCACATTCACTGGGAGAGAGTGGCCCCTTCCCCTGCAACGAGGGCACCAGGTGTCTGAGACGCATTCTGCTTGGACCATCTCCACCCTTGAAGGAGCAGAATTCACGAGGCATTTCTATTTCCCTACTTGTAATTCCTTCGGACAACCTTGCGAAGTAGATAAGATGGCATTCGTCACTGATGATTCTTGCAATTTTCAAGATAAGACAGCTGAGCTCACTAAAAGGGTCACAGGACTGCATCGGGGAGCACCAGGCCCAGGATCCCAGCTGGCCTCAGGGGCAGGGCCTTCCCAGCAAAGCAAACACCTCCCTTCTCCCACTTTTTCCCACAAAGTGATTGTTTTTGCCTCTCTTTTGGAGGGTGACCCAATAACCAATTAACAGTCCTTTGTTCTATTTGGCCAGGGCAGGGCCCTCTCCCAGGCTGAGAGAGGCAGGGAGTACCCCCAGGCCCTGGCCCCCGCAGCCAGCCACCCAGGGCATTGCTGTCATTCTCCACCTTTCTGTGCTTTGCCATTGGTTTTGTTTTCCTCTAGTTTCCTAGTAAAGGTTGCTTTTGAAAATCTTCAACCTTGTCTCCCTGAGCAGACGGGAGGGGTGTTTCCACCCCTGGGCGGCGGGGGAGGACGTTGCGGGGTGTGGCCCAGGGCCTGAGCCAGCCTCCCGGAGACTGGGCGGGAGACTTCAGGGGAAGACTCAGAAACAGCTGTGGGCCTGCTGGCCTCTCCCTCCCAAGCTGCTGCCTTCCCGGCCCTTGGCCATTTGCACTTGGCGTGGGGGACTCCTGAGGAATGAGAGATGAAAGCACAGGGTGGCCTTTCTCCGACTTTAATGTGCACACGAGTCTCCTGGGATCTTGTTGATGTGCACATTCTGATTCTGCAGGTCTGGGGTTGAGGCCAAGATTCCGCACTGCTAATCAGCTTCCAGGTGAGGTGAAGGTTGCGCCATGTTGTTGAATGCAGTCCCTTCACAGCACAGAGAGCAGAGGGGACCATAGCCCGAGCCCCCTGCTGCCTCCCAGAGCGAGGCTCTCCCCAGCGTGGCCTCACCGCCCTCTATGTGCCTCATCCATCACATACATCCTCATTTGTCCCTCCCAGCCTGTGAGCTTTTAGAAGGTATTGCAACCCGGCACAGGAGCTGGCACTTATAAATATTCAAGCAAGTCGGTGACTCTCAGAAACATCGCCCAGACCCCCGAAATAAATCTCGGCTCGGGGGGAGCCCCAGACCCAAACCCCAGAGCAAAGAGCAGGGAGACATTTGGGGCCGCTCCAGAGTCTCAGTGTCTGTGGCTTCCCAGTTCTGACCTTGAATTCCCCCGGGGAAGGGATTGCAGAGGCCTGGGAAGAAGGTTGCAGTGGAAGGGGATTCGGTTCCCAAATGGGCAGCGGGAAGAGGGACAGAATCAGGGCGGGCAGAGTCCTCCTTGGTTCTGGCCCCAGTGTCCCGTGTGATTCTGAGTAGGACCACCTGTCTCCTCCCGCTCTGGGGCCATTCGAGTTGTCCTGTTATGTCCCTCTGAATGGTCAACGGGGTCATTCCTGGGCAACAGAGACTTTGGCAGCTGGTATCTTCCAGGTCCTTGAAGTCTCATGTAGGGGAAAAATCATGCGATCTGGAGGTGAAGGAGTGGCCCTAACTGGCCCTAAACACTTCGGGTGCCCCTGGGCACGTGGTTCATGGCTCTGAGCCTCGATTTCCTCCTCTGGTATGTGGGGACGGCAACTCCTGGGGATCCCATGAGATTAAGCGAGGAGTTGGGGGGAACGAGCTGAGATATCACACGGCACCCCCTTTACTTCTTCTTCTTCTTCTTTTTTTTTTTTTTTTTTTGAGACAGGGTCTTCCTCTGTCACCCAGGCTGCAGTGCGGTGGCGCAATCATGGCTCATTGCAGCCTCAACCTCCTGGGATCAAGGGATCCTCCCACCTCAGCACCCCGAGTAGCTGGGACCACAGACGCACACCACAGCATCTGGCTAATGTTTGTATATTTTGTAGACAGGGTTTCACCATGTTGGCCAGGCTGATCTCGAACTCCTGGGCTCAAACGATCCACCTGCCTCAGACTCCCAAAGTACTGGGATTACAGGAGTGACCCATTGCGGCCGGCACCCCCTTTACCTCGGAACAATCCATCTCTTTCCTTGGGGGCCCCCCATGATCTAGACACCACCCACCTTGTTCTGCCTTGGCCGAAATACCACCTAACTGCCCCCACCCATGCCGGGTGCCCCTCCCCCACCCTCCTCTGCCCTTCGCTGAGTCCCACTTGGCTGGTGCCCAGGACAGTGATAGTCCCAACCCTTCCAGCCCATCTCCCCACATCAGTACACTCCGGAGAGCTAACCAAGAGTAGATTCTTTATTCATTTATCTTTTTTTCTTAAAAAAAAAAAGTATTCATTTGGTATAAAAAATAAATATTTTAAATATGACATTGAATAAATAAAAATAATCTGTCAGTATGAAACATCCCCACAGGGTACATTCATCAAGAGGAATTTGTCACCCAAGGCCAAGTGCTTTACAGTGGAAAGGAAGGAGGGAAACCTCTAAGGCCGCACGGTGGGCCCACGGAGCTAGCACGTGGGCGAGACTGAAGGCTGGATGCCGGGATTGGGGTGAGGAACTAGAGATGATTCTAAGGCAGGAACATCTGTACCATCTGCAGGGAAACGCTACCTCCCCGGGTGCCAGAGCTCCAACCCCACACACTATGTCTACTCTGGAGAGCCGTCAAGGCAGAGCTGGACTGGCTGGGTCAGGGTGGAAGTGCCGCAAGTCAGGGACAAGGAGGACGATGGGGACGATGGGGAGGAGAGACAAGTAAACTAGCAGTGCTTTTTAAAAAAATGTTTAAATAATAAATAAGGACCCAGAGCTGGAGACGTCTCTCTTGGTAAACTACAAAATGACTGTCCCTCTCTCTTCCTCTGGCCAGGCCCAGGTGTGATCCGCACCAGCAGATAAAAAGGGAAGAGGAACTCAGCTCCTGGTCCGGCAGAGCTGTTTCACGCAAAGGCTCCGTGATTCAGTGATGCTGTGCAGAGTGGACGCCGAGCTGCCAGATGGGATCTGGAGGGAGCACTGAGGATGGGTACCATGGGTCCGAGTCCAGGCTGGGCAGGAGAGTGACTCAGAGCCAGGGCCACCAGGGCCGCCAGGTGGTCTCGGCACAGAGCACCCAAGTCCACAGGGAGATGAGGTGATGGGTGAGTCAGCGGGGCGCACTGGGTGGAATCAGCAACTCTGGTTTCCAGGCAAATTTGTCTTTCTTGAAGTCCATCTTGGGGGAGTGCAGCCTGCCCCAAGCTAAGCCAGATGGAGCAGGAAGGGGAAGGCGGCCCCTGCATCCTAGACAAGGGTGAGTGTGGCCAAAATCTCAACAGCCACATCCTCATCTTGCCGTTGGGACGGACAGATGGACAACTCCCGGCCGCACCCTCCACCCCAACCCCAGGCCTCAGGACCTGCCTGCACGCTGCCCATGCGCCATCCAGGTAAAGTGCTTAGAGAGCGACAGGGAAAGGTGCAAAGTGAGTGAAAAGTACCATAATTAGTACCATCATCTTGTCAGAGGAACTTGGAGGCCGGCAGCGCACTCAGGGTTTGAGAAGAAGCCAGAACACTGCTCTGAGCAGCTGCCCCGGTTCGGCTGCCTCCCTCCCTCCCCTGCTCTCAGACTGGAGGGCGTTTCTCCACTCGCCTGGCCCCAGCACAAAGAAAGAGATCGGGTTCCCTGCCTGGGAGCCCAGACATGGGTGGGAGTGGGATGGGGGTGGGGCAGGAGGGCCCACAGCTTCCTGGTCTGAGTCCCAGGCGTCTGCAGCCTCCCTCTCCTCCTCTTGGGAGCAGTGGGCAGCTGATCCCCCCAGTCTCCCCCACCTTCCTGGGGTCTGGCCCAGCCAGGCCCCCCCACCCTCTATGGGTGTCCGGGCCACCGGAGGAGCTTCCCTGCTGCGTGGGAGCACGCTGGGTGCTGGGGCAGGATTGTTCCAGGGCACTATTTCAGAGGCAACATGGGGACACAGAAACAGGGACAGGGTGGGCCACAAGGACTGTCTTGCCCACTGCTCCAGGGGGCACAATTTCAACCAGGAGCAGTGCTCCTCGCAACACAACGCTGGGGCGCCCGAGAACAGTGTGAACCAGCCCCCTGGAACCAAGACAGAAAGGCACCCGGCCTCTCCACAAACTGGCCCCAGCCCCTGCAGCCTGGACCCTGAGACCCCAAAGCAAGTCACAGTAGGGGATGGGGGTGGAGCCAGGCCCCGCACTCCCACTCAGGCCTCCCCATTCTCTCAGATCCGACCCTTCTCTGAGCTTCACCTATAAGGCTTATTCCACTTGTAACATTGTCGACTTTCAGACCAGGCCCTGCTAAGCCCTGGCCCTGGCGCTTGTGTCGGGAACCATCATCATATTTTGCTGAGTAGGGACCAGGGAAAGGGGAATTAACTTTGCCACTGAAAGCACCAATAAGTTAATATAAATAGGATATCATAATAAATAGAAATCATTCCGGGTCAGACGCACAGCACGCTTGAAGCTCAGGGTTCCCTGAGACCCTGACCTCAAGTTCTGCTATCCCTTTGCCCTGGGGACCAGAGAAGGCCTCCGGTCCCCCTCAAGTACCTCTGTGTGACCTCACAAGGCCTCCCAGGGCCTCAGATGTGAGCTGCTACTCTGAGCTACCCTAGCCCCTCCTTACAGACTCTTACCCAGAGGAAGACCCTGGGTCCTTCAGAACCTCTGCACCTGACTTAGCAACCTGCCCCTGCCCTACCCACCTCCACAAACCCCTGTTGCAGGTTCAGCCACCAGACCCTGGCCATCCCAGGCTGTAAGGAAGATCACGAGGAAGAGAAGGAAGAACCCACCAAAGCTTTCGGGGCCTCTCCTCCTCCCAGCGTCTTACTTCCCAGGCCTGAAGGTGGCTTCTTTGCCTCCCCAAGAGCCTGAATGCCAAGTGACCTCCTTCTGGAAACTTCTGCCTGACTGTTCCTATGCCCAAGTTCTCTGATCATCCTCAAAAGAAGACAGCCTCCCATCCCAGAGGCCCCTCTCTATCTTCCACTCATCAAACTTCTAGGGGACAAGGAGTCCTTTGGGACCCCAGCCCCTCTGGCCCACCTGAGTCCCAACCTAAGGGGCAGCAAAGGCACAGATGGTGATCATTTACCAGGGGCTGGTCCACTCCCCGGGGCCCTGCTGTCTCGCTGTGGTCAGGGCTGTTGTAGATGACTGTGTAGTTTGCCCACTGCACAAAGTGAGCAAGAAGCCAAAGGGACAAGTGGAGGCAGAAGTCCAGCCCACGCTCCCCAGTCCACAATCTCCCAGAGGAAGGGGCACCTTCTTCTAGCTCCCTCCCTATGGAAGTTTCCACTCTGCTCAGCTTCATCACAGCCCAGCCCAGAGGGGAGTGGACTGGCCAGGCACCCTCGGGGTCTGCCAGCAGCCCCCATTTGGGTTTAGCCATGCCCTGGGCCCCAGCCACTCTAGGACAGGCCCCCACATCTGGACCTCACTCTTGAGATCCTTTGGTTCACAGCACGCTTCAAGACCTCTTGCTAGAAGGCCTGGGCCAACACGGCGATGGTCTCCTTATACTTCCCCAGGAGTTGACAGCCCAGCTTCTTCTTCTGGAAAACGTCCTTACCCGAGGTGTCAGGGCCATAGGTCACGTCCACATGGCCCACGTGGTACTTGCTGCACAGGCGGCACAGCACGTTGCTAAGGAGGCCTCGCAGGATGTCAGCAGTGGCGTTGAGCTTGCTATGGAGGCTGAGGGCACTGGGGTTGAGGATCTTCTGGTCCCGGGTGATGTTGCCCAGGGAGGTGCCGAGGTACACGACTATGCGGTACAGCTCCACCAGTTTGGCCTTCTCCGTGCCGTTGGCGTGGAAGGGCGGGAAGTCTGTCACGTTGGGGCCGCACAGCTTGTCCAGGTTGTTGGGGAACGGCTCCCCCTGGGCTGTGTACTGAGGGGCAGAGGGCAGGTGACGTGGGAGTCAGGGGTCTGTGTCCCAGCCCTGCCGCCAACCCTTTGGGCAAGCTCTTGAGTCTCAGTTTCCCCATCTAGCGCATGAGAACCCAACTCCTTGCCCTGTAAGCATCTAGAATAGTCATGAGAGCCAAAAGTAATTGTAGTGTGAGTGTCCTTGCTAAAGATCAAAGCCTAAGCCATGCACGCAGTCATCATCATCATCATCACCACCCTAAGGGGACAGAAGGGAAAACTCGGTGTCTAGCCCCAGCTGGGGCACCACACACAAGTACTTCCATCTCTGCACTCACGATGTTCCAGGGTGCCCCTCCACGCCCAGCACCCACAGCCCACTGCCTCTCAACCACATCTCCCTGGTGCCTCACACGCATTTCCCCTCCATCCCTCCCTCCCTGCAGCAGGACAATCACAAGACAAGAAGTGCCAGGCCCCCACCTTTGCACCCAGCTCTCCCCTTGCTCACTGGGCACCCTGAGGAAGCTTCTCTGGGAAGCGTGGGCAGGAAGTGGCAGGAGTCTGCGGGTGGTTTAATCAAGCCATTCTCTCCTTCCAGCCCCAAAAGGTCCCCTCAACCCAGATCAGGACACTCCCTAATGATATTTACAAGCCCCCTCCCTGCCATCTCCTGTCAGTATCTCAGGGGTAACTTACATAGAGAATAAAGAGGGCATTGGCACTGCCATTGAGCTGTGCCAGTTGGCTCCTGATCTGGTTCATGAGGTTGTTGTGACATGGGTGGCGTATGGCACAGGTGGCGTTGACAGGGGTGATGGGGAGGGGGCTCCCTGCCCCATGTTTCCAGTGCAGAACCAGCAGCAGGGGCACAACTCCTGGGGACAGGCAGGAAGAAGCCATGAGTAGAAAGGCAGGGAAGGGTGGCCTGGGGTCATGGCACACCGGATGGGGGTCTGGCAAGGGTCGCATGGGAGAGGACCCCTGGTTCCTCCTCACCACCTGCAGCTATCTTCCTGGGGCCTAGTCTTCACTCTGTCACTGCGTGTGTTTCTCTGCTGCCCTCTCTCTACCTTAACTCTCCCTGGTCCCTGGGATGACGGAAAGACGAGGGCAAGATGCAAGCCATTTCCACCAGAAGGGTGCAGGGTCCAGGAGGGACTCCCAGCCGTCCCACCCTTTCCCTCAGGAAGGCAAAGGCCCTGAGGCCCCCTGGCCCTCTGGCAGGAAGGCACCAGGCCCCAGGCCCAGCAGGTGCCAGAAAGGAGATCCCTGCTTCCCACCTCCCAGGATGGCCCAGGTTCCTCAGCAGCGCTTCCCACTCACTGGTCCATTGCAGCCCAAATCTCCCAAGCCAGGCACCCATGGGGACCACGGGGCATGGGGGAGTGGGGAGGAGTCCTCGGCTGATCCTCGTCTCCCTCCCAAACCTGCCACTTGATTCTGGCTCCCTGGCCAATTGCCCCCCATTCTGCCCCCGTCCCCATCATCTTCTATCTCTTCCTTCCCTAGTGTCCCCCATCTCACTCAAGTTCACCCCATTTCTGCCTGGCTGTCCCCACTCTCCATCCCCAAATCATCATTCAAAACTCTTTGTTCCCCCAGCTCTGGACAGCCCCTGACTCCATGCCTTCTCCCGATTCATCTGCTGTCCCTTGTCCCAGGGGTTCCCCTCCCCCCTAACACACACACCGGCTCAGGGAGGGAAAGGAAATGGTGCACCAGGAGAGAGAAAAGGCAAAAGGTCATAGGCAGTCGGGTGGGCGGGGAGGAAGGAAAGTGAAAGGTGACAGGAGAGCTGGGAGCTGTCCCGACACGTCCTGGCTTGCCCCTCCCCCAGGGGGGCCTGTTCTCCCCACTCCCCCAAGCCCCCTTAGACGCCTTTCCAGGGCTCCGCAGAAGGGCATCTGAAGGTGGTGGGGGCCGGGGTCAGCGGGTGAGTGAAGCTGGAGACCTCCCCCGGATCCCCCATGCTGGGACAGCGGGGACGAGGGCAGCCTCAAGTTCACTTCTCCTGGGTCCCCTGTTCGTCCCAGCATCCCCAGGCAGTGCTGAGGCCCCGGGGTGGCTGCGGGAGGGGGGCCACACCCCTATATCTCACCTAGCGCAGACCACACGCTTCCAGACACCAGCAGATGGAGGCGGCACCTGCTCCCGTCCCAGGCCGGAGTTTGCAAGCTGCTCGCCGCCCGCGCCCCTCCCTGGGAGCAGCCCGGGACCGCGGTTGGAAAGGAGAAAGCGGAAAGAAAGAAAGAAAAGAAAAAGAGAGAGGGAGAGTGAATCTGCGAAAAAGCGCAGAGGGAAGAGCAGCCAGCGAGAGTGTTGGGAGCGAGGAGGAGGAGGAGGAGAAGGCGAGGGGGAGGAAGAGGAGGAGGAAGGCTCGGCGCCCCCTCCCTCGCCGCCAACCTGCCGCGGGGCGTGCGGTGCTTGGGACCATGTGCCCGCGCTCGCTCCGGGCCGCCACCCCGCGCCTCCGGTGGCTGCGCGGGCGCCCCAAGCGTCCGTGTGTCTGCGGCGGGTGGGCGTCCGGTTCGCACTACCAAGCGCCCCAAGTTGCCGCCGCGCCCCGCAGCGGGGACGCGAAGCCGGCGCGGGGCGGGTGTATTTACCTGCCGCCAAGACCTTCATTATGGGCTGCGCTTCAGAGGGCCTTGGAGGAAACCTCAGATGCCGGCAGTTTTCAGAGGTTCATGCTCAAATGGGGAATTTGCCTGATTTATATACTGGAGCCTGTGTTGTAAGACAGAAACAGCTATATTTAGCCGGGATCCCCAGTCCAGGAAGTTGTTTGAGGTGCATCATAGGAAATTATGAATGGAAGAAAGTGAGAGTGAAGGGGGGGGGGACAAGTGAGGGGGGAGGGTGGGGAGAACAGACTTTTTCCCTCTTCTAAGAATTTGATTGATAAAATTATAATGAAGCCTTCGACAAAACGCCCTGCGGTTTTCCTGCCTGGCTTGTCCCAGGAGTTGTCTGAAGATGGGCATCGCCAGGAGGGGGCCCCTGGCCGAGTCAGCAGGGGTCCCAGCAGTGGGCGCCCCAGACGGTCCTGACTCACCTGCGTTTGGGGAGGTAGCGAGTCTGGACTAGCAGATGGAGACTGGCCTCTGTGCCCCCTGGTTGGGGGGCTTTAGGGGGGCAGTGGGAGGAGGAGGGCTGGGGCTTGGCTGAGAAGGAGGCTCCAGGAGGAGGGGCCGGAGCCGGCGTGGACTTTAGACGGTCATAAAGTGGAACTGAACATGGGCGCTAGAAGCCACCCCAGAGGTAGCCTCCTCCAATCTGCCCATTGCCACTGGGCTCCAAGGGGCTCCGAGGGGAACGCGTTGCCCAGGGCCCCAGAGGGTCAGGCCTCCAGACACCACCAGTGCACTCGCCCTGCTGACCACTGTACCTGTGAGGCTGGGGAAGGGGCTAGGAAGACATGGGGGTAGGGGTGGCTGTGACTCAGTTCTGTCGGGACACTCTGGGAAGGTGCTTCTGGGAAGGTGGTCCAGCATTTCCATTCTGAAGCGGGACCGAGAGAGGCTTGGCAAAATCGTACCCCAGTTTCCTCCTCAGGGTGCTGACTGATGGCTGGGGAAACAGAAGTGGCTGGTCCCTTCCAGACCTGCCTTGGAAGCCCCTTGGAGCTCAGCCTCAGAGAATGATGGAGGTCCCCAAAAAGTGCTTCTAGAGGCTCTTCTGAGGCCGGGCGATTCGTGAATGAGGAAGGGCAGGAAGGAGTAGTGGGGAGCAGGGCAAAATGAGCACAGGGACACCTCCAAGAAAGGCAACAGAAAAGTGAAAATAAATACACCCTATGAGACGCGGGAGCGCTGGCCAGACAGCATGCCATACATCTGGGGCCATGCCATCTCTAAAGCTGCCAGGGGACCCCCCAGTACCAGGAGAGGATTTAGTCCCCTGGGGCCCCTTCCCAGCCCTTCCGCCCGACCCTGACCTGAGATCAAGGTGTGCAAGTTGGTTTTCCAAGGCCAGGGAGCTCCTGCAGCCTTGCCCGGGTCCCCACCGCCCCCTCGCCCATCCTCCATGCCCCCAGCTCCTGCCTCTTGCCACATCCCGGACCTGCCCAGCCACGCGTTCCTCCTTCATCGTGCCAGGACGAGCCCTGGTGCCTGCTGCCATTCCCCACCACACACACACCCTGCTTTATCTAGGCTCTTGCCCCCCCATTCTCTCCCAGCAGGGCCTCAGATGTGAGGTGATAAAACTGCCTATCCCAGCTGGCACTTCCCGAACTGGCTCTCCTTCCTCCTTCCTGCCTCCCACCCCACACCTTGTCTCTTCTTTAAGGGACCATGGAGGGCCCCACTTAGCACTTACTGCTCCTATACACTTGCTCTGGGGTCAGCGTACACTACTAGGAGACCCACCTGCCCTGGCCTGGCTCAGGCAATCCCACATCCCAGGACACCCCAACTCAACCCTTCTTCTTACCCCTCCCCCAGCATCTCTTGCACAAGGACCTGACCACTCAGAGCACGTGAACTCTGGACCAGTCCCCAGTCCCATCTCACATCACCTAGACCCCTGTCACCTAACTCAGCCTGGCTTTCCTGACCTGGACCCCAAATTCACGTGACCAGGGGCTCACTGTGGCCTCCACCTATCAAACGCCCGTTGCCAGGCCTGAGTCTCTCGTTAGGCTCAAGAGTTCTCTTGCAGCCACCCCTACATCCACCACCATGCTGCCCAGTGTCTCCTCTGCATCCTTCCAAGCGGACCCCCAGGTCTTGCATGCCTTCTGGCAAGCCAGACCCCACATCAGCCCTATAATCCACCCCTGATCGCTGTTTAATCTCAGCCCCACCCCACAGGAAACAGGAAGTGAGGACAGGGTCTAGAAGACACTGACACTAGGGCCACTTAACCCCAGCCCTGACTGAGGCCCCTCCAGTGCCTCAGTTTCCCCTCCTCTCACGGTACCTGACTTGGTTTGTGCTCCCCAAGTGCTCTGGGCCCCTCGGTGCCCCAGGCCCAGCCTCCCCCTCCTGTCCATGTCCAGGCACCACCTGCTCTGGGCCTCTGGAGGGAAGGCCGGGCAGGGTCTCGGAGCCGCAAGTCCGTGTGCCGCCTGCAACGTGGCTGCGGCCCCCAGGAATCAGCCGCCCAGGCTACGCTCCAGGCCCACTTTGGTCTCTGGGAGTTTGTTTTCTTCCCTCCCTCTCTATGCTGTGTGTGTGTTCCCCGCCCCCAGCCAGCTCCCTCATGGAAGGCACCCTCCCTTCTTGGCTGCCGGCTCCCAGGGTCACGACCCCAGGCCCCACCCTGGAGTGGCAGCCCCAGCCTGGCCCCTTCCAGCTGTGACTTCATCCACAGCCTGTCCTGCTCCTGCAGATGGGGCTTGCTGGGGATATGACCGGTCTCAGGGTGAGCGGGACAGTCCCAGCCACATGGGATCCCCTGACATTGAGCAGGAGTTACCAGGCCAGAACCCAGGAGTGCTGTCTCCAGGTGGCTGTGCCATCCAACTCATCACGGCTCTCCAGGAAGTGAGTGCACCCTCTAGCACGTTCAGCTACCCAGCTGCTTGTTTTCTGCTGATTTTTACCTGCCATCCACAACTCTCTCCTGGAATGTCACAGCTGCTTATTTTTCAGATGGGGAAACCGAGGCTCAGAGAGGTGAAGATACTATGTGTGGCTCACACAAAGAATTAATAACAGAGCCGGGTCTGGAACCCGGGCTTCTGTCTTGCAGGCCACAGCAATCCCTGCAGCACCTCTTGCTCCCAGAGAGTGAAGGGCATGGCAGGTGTGCTCGGGCCACCTTCCTCCAGGAAGCCTCCCCTGCCTCCCACAGCCCCGACCAGCTCACACCAGCCTTGTCCTACCCACTCTTGTTTCAAGTGGGGGCGAGTCTTATTCCTCAACCCTTGAGAGCTCAATGGGGTCTGAGACTCCCTTGTACTCCTGACAGCACCTGGCTCAGGGTTATACCTTGACATGAATAGAGGTTAAGTATTTTTTGAGAAAGCATTTTACAGTTTCCAAAAACCGTCAGTGCCAAGTCTCTTGTGGAAAGGAGACAAAGAGGTCTGAGGGTTTGAAGAATGGACTCTGGCCTCATTCAGAACCAGGTTGGAGGTTTGGCTCTGCCAGTTATGAGCTGAGTGACTTTGGGGAAGGGACTGCCACCTCCTGGCCTCAGTTTCTTCAGCTATAAAATGGGAATAATGGTACTGCCATTGTGGGTTTGCTCTGAGGGCTCAGGGCTCAGCATGGTTCTGGGCACCCAGCAAGCTGCCTCTCTGCATATCACCACCCACTGTGCTGACCTCCCTGTGAAGCAAGGGGTCTTGTCCCCATTTGACAGATGGGGAATCTTGGGTCCATGCCAGGGTGCTGAGTGGGGAAGGCTGGGCAGGAGCAAGACCTCTCAAGCCTCTGCTGATGGTAAATCGAGGCAAGATACCCACGTAGCCTCCAGCTTCCAGGGTGTCCCAGAAAGATCAGACAGGTTGTGGAAGGGGGCTGGCAGGGCAGTGTGCTCAGTCCCCCAGAGCCCCCCTCCTGGCCCCTCACCACCCCCACCCCAAGCCTGATCTGAGGACAGCAGCTGACCTGGCCTTACCGCCCCCAGAAGCTGATTCACCCCCAGGCCCCAACTGAGAAGGAAGGAGACAAACTCAGCTCTGAGGGGCTTGAATCACCAGCCGCCCCCTGCAAAGTCCCAGGGTGGGGGGGGGGTGCGGGGGTGGGGATCAGCCCCCTGCCTGTCTGTCTCTTTCCTGGACCCCGGGGCTCTCAGGAGAGAGGGCAGCATGGCAGTGGCATGGGCAGGGGTGGGACGGGAGGTCCCCTCACAGTCAGGCATTCTGTGTGGGCAGCCAGCAGCGGTTACTCACCAGGTAAGCAGCTCTCCGGGCACTGGGGAATTCCCCAAGACCGGTGACCCAGAAACAGCGCTCCGGGCACCCCCGGCTGCCCAGTCTGTCCTCCCTCCTTCCTTCCCCAACTCCTCTGGCCCTGGTACCTGGAAAATGAACAGAGTCCTCAGGTGGGCCTAGGAAGGAAGCCGGGGTCCAGAGGGTGGGTCCCAGGCCCAGGGCTGGTGAGGGGTGGCCAGAGGAGATGGGGAAACTCAGGAATGCCTGGCACAGCCCAGCCAATTGGGCATCCTGGCCAAAAAGGCAAGAGCACCACACTCTTCAATGCTTGAGGAGTGACAGTGTAATGCCACCAGCGGACCGTGCCTCTACTGTTCTCACCCCAGTGGTGTGGGTTCAAATCCCTCCTGCCCCAACCACCAGCTATGTGGCCCGGGGCAACGCGCTTCCTCTCTCACAGCCTCAGTTTTCCCTCTGCAAATGAGAATGCTGTTGTAACAGCCTTGTGGGGCCATCACCGGGATGTTTCCTGGGAAATGTGGACAAACACCTAACGTGTGGCAGCCATTCTAATAAGATCTGGCTATGGCCGAAGAAGGAGCTCAAACCCCAGACCGAGTCAGGGGCTTGGGTTAGGGCTGGGTCCCGTGGTCAGCGCAGTGGGGTCTGAGAGTCAGAGCAGGAGGTGGCTACTGGGTCCTCTCAGTTAATGGAGTCTGGTGTGGGTTTTAGGAGAGTGAGTAGCATCTCAGGGCCTCGGTGGGGGAAATAAGCAGTACTCCCCCCATCTCTGGGCCCTGGAGAGCCCAGCTGTCTTCTGGGGGCTCTTGAGGTCCAGATGCTGGGCCTATCGCCTGCCCCTTCTCACCCTTACTGGATCCAGTCTCTGGCAGCGACCAGCAGTATCCCCTCAGGGCCAACGAGAAGCCAGAAGCCACCCTGGCCTTCTGCCAACTGCTCCCATCATCACCCTGACATTTCCCGACCTACTGTGTCAGGAATCAACCCCCTGGAGATGAATCAGAGTGACTGCATTTTTTTTTCTTCATTTCTGATAGAAATTGCAAGGGAAGCAGCAGCCCCTGATCATTGGCAGGGCCAGCCAGAGGCCTGGCTGTGGCGTTGCGTGGGGCCGGTCCCCCCCAGGGCTCTGTAGAATGGGTTGCTGTCTACCTCAGCCATCAGCATTTCGTGAGCATGGCCTTTGAGACTCTGCAAGCACTTTTACCTCCCCCAGGCTCTCCCTGAATCTCGAACTAGCCTGAGACCATTGCAGGCAGATGTAGAGAGAGCTGTGTTTTCACACTGCGGGCCTCTGCCTCTTCGTGGGCCATGGATTCAATTAGAGGGTTGCCACCAACACTTTCAAAAAGGAAATGGAATAGCGAAATCACCTGGCATCGCCCAGAGCCAGGGCGAGGATCGCTCCATGAAACTTTTTTTCCGGTTGCCTGTGTGTGTCAGTATCTGCATCCTCATCTGGTTGCAAGGTGCAATGTATTTCTTACTGTGGGTGGCAGCCAAAAACATTTGCAAGCCGCTGGTATCGATGTTGAAAGCCAGGCCCAGAGGGGCTGAGGAGTGACTTGCCCAAGGTCACTCAGCAGTGTCTCACGGGGCTCCTGACTTCCCTTCCAGCTCTGGAATGGGCCAGAGGTGCCGCAGGGTAGGACGGGGCAGGGCTGAGCAGGTGCTCAACGGGGGGGACCTGGTGGCACCCTGTGCCGTGACAAAGGCCTCCCAGAGCCCAGCCGCTCACTGTCCACTCCCTTCCGCAGCCTCAGACCCCTGGGCTCTCTGCCCTGCCCCATCCCACCTGGGTGGAGCCCAGGACAGTCACAGGCCTTTCTTTCCTACTCCACCAGGGAGCCTTTCATCCTCACCGCAGGGTGCGGGAAGAGGAAGTGGCCACAGCCACCTTCCCAGGGCAGCCCGAGGCCAAGAGCCCCAGCCTGCAGTAGAGGGCGCACACTTGGGCTCCCTGTGGCCCTGGGACGTGGCTGAGTGTGTTTGTCTGTCTGTCCGAGTCTGAGTGGGCATTTGCCTGAGCATGCGTGTGTAGTGAGTGCCTCTGTGTCTGTGCATGCCTGTGTCTGGTACCGTGTGTGCGTGTGTGGTGTGTGCAAGTGTGTTCACGTGTGTAGATCTGCTTGTACCTTTTGCTTTGTGTGACTGAGAGCTAGATGGTGCACATCTCTGGCTGCTATTGTGAGTTCTCCGTGTGGTTGTGTGAGTGTGTCTGTGTGTGTGTTTGTGTGCACACGTGCCCATGGGCATGAAGCCAGTGCGACTGTGTGTCTGGCCTCGTGTCTGCCTGAGTTTGTGTGGGACTGTGGATCCCTGGGCACGAGGGCTAGGTGAGCAAGGAGGTCTAACCCTGGGCGTGCACGCGTGCATTTCTGAGCCTCCAGGCCTGCGTGTGCCCCGGCGTGTGTCTCCAACAATCGCTGCTCCTCGCCCTCCAACCCCCGCCCCTGGGAACCATGTGGCAGCCTCACGTCACAGGGGCCACCAGCAGCTGGCTTCCTCCCTACCCCGCCCCAGCCCCTCCTCCCCACACCGCCCTGGCCACCCTGACTCTTGGCACAGGGACAAAGCTGATGTCAGAGGCGAGCTGACAGCTTTCTTCTCCCGCTGGATTTTCCAAAAGAGAGACCACAGCGGCCCCTATTAAATAATTGCGGGGCTGGGGGGTAAAGGAGGGACGTGTCACTCAATGATTTCCTGGACTCGGAGGCCATAAACAGAACAGGAAGTGGCCCAAGGACCTATTCAGCCTGAAACTGGCCGTGCAGAGGTGTGGCCCTGGCCTTCTCTCCTTCCCCTCCCCCCGCCAAGCACACTGGGGCCACCCTGACCTGTCCCAGCGCCCAGGGGAGCCTGAGGGATTGTTCTGAGGATAGTGGGTGGGAGGGTGATGGGAGCCTCCGGTCTGGGGACGGTGATGACATGGAAAGAATAAAGTGGTCCCATCCCACTGGGTGGGGAGGATGGAGGGGCGAGACCTGGCTGAGGTTGGACTATCCTCTTCCCTGGGAAGAGAAGGAAGAGTGAGCTTCCTGGGGTGAGGGGAGGGATGGGGCCAGGTTGGGGAGCCGCTGGTGGGACCTGGGATTGGAGGGGCCAGACCTGCCTCTGTATCTTGCAACTGGGGCGTGATACCTGTCCCCCACCTCCTGCACCTTTGGGTCCCCCTAGACCTCCAGGACCCTCCCAGCCTGGAGTAGTGCCCTTCCTGGGGCACAGGCCCCCGAGGCTTTCATAAGCCTCTCTCCCACCCCCTCCCCACAAAACCAAGCATTACCAAGTGCTCACCAGAAGCCCCTATGGGCTCAAGTCCTGACCCCCATTCTCTGAGGGAGGCATTTTAATCCTCATTTGACAGACTTGGAAACTGAGGCTCACAGAGTGGAATGATTTGTGCCAGGTCACACAGTGTGTAACGGAGCCAGGTCTCCACCCCAGCCCCCTACCCCCAGCCTCCCTAAAACAGGACCCTGGAGGCGCAGGTGTGGTCTGAGCAGCCAGGCCCAGGGGGGTCCCCGCAGAGTCACTCCCTGGGGAGCCCCTCCTTCTGCCTGGACCAGGCCTCCCGGTGGCTGATAAGCCACAGGACTGCATGACACAATCCCGCTCTGATCTTCTGCCCAGCCGAGCCTCCGCCCCCACCCCACCCCTGGACCCTGTTTCCATCTCCTCCCTTTCTGGGTGGGACCAACGCCTGGGCCTGGTGTCATTCATGGTGGGCTGTCCAAAGAGCCAGATTCTCTGTGAACCTCTCGGCTGTCAAGGTCTCTCCTAAGTCCACCCTAGCCAGAGGGCTGGCAGCAGGGGACCCTTGCGGAGGGAGGACAGTGGCCTGTGCCTCCCCACCCTCAGGGGGCCCACGTGCCAGGTGGGGGTGGAGGACTTAGGGCCTGTCTTGGCCCCTACTGGCTTCAGCGTCCCCACTTGGTAAAGGAAAAGCTTGGAGAAGAGATGAGGCTGCGCTGTGGAGGGGAGGAGGCTGAGTGGGCTCTGGAATCAGCCAGACCCCAGGTCCAGGCCCACCTCGGCCACTTACAAACTGTGCAATCTTGGGCAGGTGGCCTGATTGCTCAGGCCTCAGTTCCAACGTCTACCAAATGGGGGAACAGTGTTGTCAATCTGTGAGGTCAGCGATACCCTCCACAAAGGCTGGCCAGCACGGAAGACATACCTTGGTTATTGATATTGCTATTATTTGAGACAGGGACTCATTCTGTTGCCCAGGCTGGAGTGCAGTAGTGCCACCATAGCTCACTGCAGCCTCAATCACACCTGCTCAAGCAATCCTCCTGCCTCGGCCTCCCAAAGTGCTGGGATTACAGGTGTGAGCCACTGCACCAGGCTGTGTTGTTGATATTATCTTAACTATGGGGCCCAGAGAGGGGAAGTCACTTCTCCAAGGCCACACAGCAAATTAGTGGCACATTCCCAATAGTATGCGGACTGGTGACCTCCCAGGGAGCTGGGAACCCTGGGTTTCAGTCCTGATTTGCTTGTGAGAATTCCAGAAGGAAGCCTCTCAGAGTCTCAGTGTCCCTTTCTAGATAAGTCCATGAGTCCCAAAGTGTCTAGAAAAGCTTCTCTGGGGCCGGGCGTGGTGGCTCATGCCTGTAATCCCAACACTTTGGGAAGCCGAGGTGGGCAGATCACCTGAGGTCAGGAGCTCAAGACCAGCCTGACCAACATGGAGAAACCCCGTCTCTACTAAAAATACAAAATTAGCTGGGCGTGGTGGCGCATGCCTGTAATGTCAGCTACTCGGGAGGCTGAGGCACGAGAATCGCTTGAACCCAGGAGGCGGAGGTTGCAGTGAGCCGAGATCACACCATTGCACTCCAGCCTGGGCAACAAGAGCGAAACTCCGTCTCAAAAAAACAAAAAACAAAAAAAAACATGGGGGAACAAAAAGAAAGAAAGAAAAGAGAAAAACAAAAGGTTCTTTAAAGAGTAGCTTGTGGGGAGCAGTGGTGGGGGATATAGAGAGAGACCCAGGTCCCCAGGAAAGTTGGGCCCAGGGCTGGGGGAAGTCCAGGTCCAGGGCTCCCAGACCACCATTTGACACCCAACCGCCTACCCGGCTCCAAACCACGGGCTGCAGCGCCCCCCACTGCCCAGCGGGCAGCAGGCCCCACGGCCACGGCCCCGCCAGCCCCAGGCCAGCCTGCAGCCGGGGCCTCCCCCAGAGCCAGGTGGGGTGGCATTTGGGGATTTGAGGGGGTGGGTGGAGATGCCTGAGGCTCAGAATGGAGGGTGGGCAGATACAGGCCAAGGCTGGAGAGGGGGGCACCGCTGAGGGGGTCGTGGAGGAGCCTATGCCGTGTCCAGCACCTCCTGGGGAAGCCCTGAGGACCGGCCACAAGGGGGTGCCAGGACCACGTGCCTCTGCCTGGCGGAGACTCTGGGAGGAGGAAGAGGAGGAGGGGGAGGAGAAATTCTCTCTCCTGGCCCTGCTGCCCCTTCCCATTCCCCTCAGACTTCCAGGACGTCCCCTCTCCCCAGCTCCCATTTACAGGTCCTCACGACAGTTCTTCCAAATGGGAATTACAGTCGCCATTTTAGAGAGGAGACAATTAAGATCCACAGACGTAAAATAAACCAGGGACTCATGGGACAGAGCCCAGGCCCCCACCCGGCCCCAGCGTGCCAGGGAACCCCAGCATCCAGACCCAGGACTGGCCCACCCAGGAGATAGTTTCCCTATCCCCTCAGAAGCCTCTCCCCAGGCCTCGGGAACTGCTGACGGCAAAATTGGGGTCGAGCCCCTTCCCCTCTCATGTCAGGCTCCGTGCAAGGATTTTACCTATATTTTTCCTTTCTCACCACTGTGATCTCATAATTAGATCCATTTTACACAGTGAGTGAGGCACACAGCAGTCAAGTCCTGCACTGGCCCAAGGCCAAAGGCACGGGGGCCTTGAACTTGTCTGACCACATATGCTGGAGCCTGCTATACAGGAACCACCTCTCCATCAGAAGGAAACTGAGGTCTTCATGGGCTCGGCCCCCTGCACTGCTCTGGGGAAAAGAGAACTTGAGGTTCCCTTGGGAATCCAGCACTCAAAACCCCCAGATGACTGACCCCTCCAGGGTCCCAAACAGCCAGGATTCAAATCCAGGCCTCCTTCCAGCCACCGTGTCCAGAGCTCTCTCCTCTGCCCTTTAACACTTTGATGCTCTTTAAACCCTCACATGTCCACATGACACTTTCGCATCTGTTCTCTCCTGCTTAGCCTCGACATCCTCAGAGAGGTGTTCAGGGCGTATCTCACCATGCCCATTGCATAGAAGGGGAAACTGAGGCCTGGAGCATGTGTGAGCCACCAGATGCCCCCTGACCCACAAGGGAGTGAGCGATGTTTGCTTTGGTGGAGGATAAATTTGGAGGCTGGCCTCTACCCCCGGCCCTGCCCCAGGGAGAAGCCTACCGTGGTCTGTGCCTGCACACGCCGCTCTGGATCTGGAAGGTTTGCCAGGTCTTCAGTGGGACACCATCGTCTTCCGGGCCAGGCCCCCTCTGCTTCCCTCTCCTGCTAGATCTTCTCTGGAGTCGGCTCCTCACCCCGCCCCCAACTTGACTTCCCGTCCGGAGCTGGGTGGCCCTGACACTACCCCCACTTCCACACCCGCCCCCAGCTGAATGGCGGGGGGCAGCAGGTGCAGAGGGCCCCGGGTTCCCACCCAGTCTGTGCCTGACACAGGTGGGGGCAGGGTCTTGGAGTGGCCAAGGGGAGAAGCAGGGCTGGGATGTGGGAGGGGGCTTCCTGGTGCCCAATGCCCCTGCCCGGTGCTGCGTGGCGAGGCCGTTGGGGCCTGAGTCACAGCTGACGGGGCCGCGCCCAGCCTGCCTGAGTGACCCAGGCCGGCATAAGGCGATGACTGGGCAGCCCTCCGCATGACCGCAGGGGTCGGCCTTAGGTGTTTTGACTCAGACCTGCCACAGGCCGTGTGCAGCACAGCCAGCCTCCCCTTGTCCCTGTCCCCAGAAGAGTCACAGGGCTGCAGTTCCCCCAACGAGACACTGGGCCCCCTCCCAGGACACCACTCCCTGCCCTAGCACCTACCTCCGAACCTGGGGTGCCACCTGGCCCATCTGATCCACCCTTGCCACAAGCTCCAGGGCCCTGCCTGCCCAACCCCCTCCCTCAGAGACCTTCGCCCCTCCCTGAGCCCAGCCCTCCTGAGACGTAGGGAGCTGTAGGGAGCCGTAGGGAGCCGGGCCAGCCTTGGGAGGGCCTCCCCACTCCAAAGGAGCATGGACTGTGACCCTTCCTCGGCACTGAAAAAGGGCTTTTGTGGGGATCCCATGTCCCAGCCCCTGGGTGGAGGGTGGGAGGCAGGCAGGGCAGGTGACAGGACAGGGACAAAGAGAAAAGAGCCGAGAAGAAAGAAAACCACTAAGGAGGGAAAGGGGAAACAAGAGAGAGCCTCAGCCACACTGGCTCAGGGACGGCCCTGCCATCAATGTCGTGTCTGTGCTGTCTCCCAGGGAATCTTTGTCACAGCTGGGAGGTAGGCCAAGTTGGCCCCATTGTACAGAGGGGAAACTGAGGCTCAGCCCGGGCAGGGTACCCAGCTAGGGGGCTGAGGTCTAACTCGTTTTGCATAACTCTAAAGTATTTTAAACTCATCCCTGGGAAGAAAAAAAATCACATGAAGTCCTGCAGCAAAGAGTCTAAGGCCACAGAGGCCCAAGGAAGGCCCGGGTTCGCATCCTGGCTCTGCTGTTTCTATGCTGAGAGTTCATTCTGTAGATTAACAAAATGTGCCAGGACCCCTCCCCGCCTTTTCCTGTAGTTTTGCTGTCCTAGGGAACTTTTAACTCATGTGTGTGACATGCAGCATTGACTGAGAGTCCCAGACCTCCGCTCTGAAAAACTTAAAAAAGAAAAAGAGAACCCAGCTTCGAGTGGATTCAGCGGCTGGACTGCACCAGGATCTCTTTATGTTCCTTAGCCTGGTGCCAGCGGACAGCTGCTCGTGACCCCTTTGTCCCTAATGTGAGTCAGTGCAGGGAGCACACACTTCATGGAGGGCCCCGTCCCTCTAGGGAAAATGTGCCTAGCAGAGCGTTAGCTCTTGCGCACTGTGGCAACAAAGCAGTAGTTGACACCAGTAGACTGCTGCCTTTCATGGTGGATGGTCGTGGGGACCATCACACAGCAGTCCGTGCTGTGGAGTCGGCAGGGTGATTCGACAAGGCCCCGTTCTGCCTCTGTCTGATGGAAACTCCACAGTGGCACTCTGCAAGCCACCCACAGCACCGGGGCAGCCCCACAAGCCCCTCTGGGTGGGGGAATCACAGAGGTGGGGGCATCTGAGCTTGGCCTCAAGGGCAGGAAGATGTAAGAAAGGGGAGGGGGACCAGGAACAGAGGCTGATGCCTGTAATTCCAGCACTTTGGGAGACTGAGGTGGGAGGGTTGCTTGAGGCCAGGAGTTCGAGACCTGCCTGGGCAAAATAGCAAGATCCCATCTCTACAAAAAAACAAAACTTTAGCCAGGCATAGTGGTGCATGCCTATAGTCCCAGCTACCTGGGAGGCTTAGGTGGGAGGATTGTTTGAGCCCAGGGGGTCGAGGCTGCAGTGAGCCACGATCGTGCCACTGCCCTCCAGCCTGGGCGAAGAGCGAAACCCTGTTTCTCCCAAGGAAAAAAAGAAGAGCTGAGGGGGAATAGGGAGCTCAGGCTGCATGCAGGGGTGGGAGCAGCTAAATGGACGGGGAGAGGAGTCGCCTGCAAGAGATGGGTATGGGAGAGACCACAGGACCGAGTGATGGAGGGGAGAGGAGGGGCCAAGGAAGACAAAGGCAATGGGCTGGGATTCTGGAACTTTAGTAGGGGAAAAGGAGAAGCAGAAAGCAAGTGTAGGGTTTGGGGGCAGAACGGTGATTTTGGCTTCAAGGCACCACTAAGCCAGGAGACAGACTATCCTGGTAGCTGAGTCTGTAGGATCTGGCCTTGGGAGGGATCAGACTGCAGGTGGTAGTTTGGGGTTACCTGCAACTATGACTCCTTGGGAGATGTTATGGGGTGACAAGTCCTCATAGATAGTGTACTTGAGACCCCTTCCCAGAATCAAGCTCCCCCATCTGTTTCCTGTGGGGTGGGTGTGCTCTAGTTCAAAGTCAGCCCCAGACACTTCTCCTGGGCGGTGAGAGGTGGGGGACGACCAGGGGTGGGGGCAGCCATGCTGGGCTTCCCAGCTCTTCCCCCACAGGCCAACCTCTGCCTTCCTGGAGGGCAACCCCAGCACCGGCCGCAGCGCCTGCTCCCCTTCCGCTCCAGGAACCCGAGTGTGCCTGGGTTTTGGTGTCTGCCACCTCCCACCCACATCTTCCCAGCAGCTGAGGTCGAGGAAACCCCCTTCCCCCAGCTGGAGCAGGGAGACACAAGTGAGGGCAGCCCCTCTGCTGTTGGCGGGGCCTGGAGCCAGGGCAGGCCAGGTGTGGGAGTGACACCTGTCTAGGACGGGCTCCCTGGTGTGCGCCTCAGTGCCTCCGCTTCCCCCCAGCAACACACTTGCCTCTGTCTTCTCCTTGGGGCTGGGAGGCGGAGCCCCACCTGCCCTGCTCTTCCTTGAGCACCTACTGTGTGCCAGGCACCATGCGGATGCAGGGACAGCGTCAAGCAAAGCAGACTCAGTCTCCGTCCTCCATGCTAATAGGAGACACAGTTGGGAATGTGAACACCAGAGTGCATGCTGCCGGAAGGGAGGGCGCAACCAGGTTCCCAGACCCAGACTCTGGACAGGCGAGAAAGAATTGCTAAGGATGCATCTTCCAGCTGAGATCTTACAAGGAAGGAGCTAACTTGACAAACAGGATGGGGAACAGCATTCCAGGCAGAGGGAACAGCGTAGGAAGAAACCCTGTGGTAGGAAGGAGCCCCAGGCACTTTGGGAGCCAAAAGATGGCCATTACGGTAGGACCCCTGAGGGCGAGGGGGAGCCCAGTGGGGGCTGTGGGAGGCCATTGCTAGGTACTTGGTAAATAGGCTGCAATATGTCAGGCAGCTGCCCAGGAAGACTGTTGGTTGGGAGTTAGGGGCCTCGAGTTCTAGCCTCAGCCCTGCACTACTTTGTTCTGTGACCTTAAGCAAGATGCTTCCCCTCTCTGGGCCTTTGGGTAAATCCTGATGCCCTCACTCGTGATACTCTGATCCCTGAATGCTCAGAGCCTTTGCCCTAGCTCTTCCCACCTCCCCATCTGCACGTCACTCAGACCACAGTGTGGACGTCACCTCTCCAGATGCCACTCTGGCCACTCGCAGCGCCTGGCTCTCCCGCTGCTGTTACATCACCCTGCTTTATTTTTGCTGAGCTCATCCTGCAATCTCAGATGCTCCTGTTGGTCCTTGTGCCTGTCTATTGTCTGTCTGCCCCTTGCCCTGGAGTTCTGTGCCTTCAGGAACTCACGAAATTGTCAGCCAAGTTATAGAGGAGGAGGGGTACCAGGAAGATGCTCCCACCCAGGAGTCCTACGGCCCTGAATTCAAACTGTGCCCATTCCCGGTTAATTTGGTCTAAGGATGTGGGCTGGCCACTCAGACTCTCTGAGCCTCAGTCTTCTCATCTGCAAAATGTATCATGTCTATTGCAGGGAGCTCTGCACTGGCTCTCCTCCACCCTAATGTCAAGTCCTCCTGTTCCCATCCCATCCCCAGCTCTTTTTGCCATTTCAGGAAGTAGGGGTAGCCATGGACCGATCCAAGTCAAGCTCACCTGCCTCTGGGAGCCCTTGCCTCAGCATGTTTTCGGTCTATACATGCTCGCCTGGGCATTTGGGAGGAGCCAGATGGAAACCCTAACCCCTTGGGCTCTTCGGGAAGCAGTTTTAAGCACAAACCAGGTCACTGGCCCTGTCTGAGGCAGGATCTGTTATTCTTTTGTTCATTCCACAGATGAGGAAACAAAGGCTCAGAGATGTTAAAGAATTTTCCCAAGGTCACCCAGATAGATGGAAAGGGGCTGAGACAGGATTTCAAGCCCAGCCAAGTCTCTTCGTTCCTCTGCACACAGCCATTCCTCATGTCTGCTGCATGCTCACTCCACATCAGGCAGGATGCTGGTGGCAGGGGTGTAGCTGTGAACTCACTCTTTGATTCATTCCACAAATGCCTAGGGCACCTTTCATGTTCCAGGCACCGGATGTGCCCTTGTTCCCCCAGGGTGATCCAGGAACATACACACATATGAGAGGACACACTGGCACACACCTAAGCTTGCACATGCACAGACACGCATGCAGAGACACACCCAGATATCCATGTCTGCACGCACTCATAAATACAGATACAGACATGAACCTCCATTAGGACACTGACATCCAGGCTTCAAAATTAGGTAAGAGAAATATACATGCAACACACATTGGTATGTAACACACATCAGCATGCAACGTCCATCAGCATGCAGACCTCAACCACACACCCATGGGGGCCCGGAAGCAGCCCACACACTCAAGCCTTTCTTCCTCCCCTCTTGCTACCACATCTTGACACCCCTCATCCCCAATATGTCAAGGGAGCCCCATTCGGCCATAACCAATGCCTTGTCTGAGTTTGACACCCCACCCCACCCCACCACAGTCACAGCCCCCGGCGGCTGGGGCATGTGATTTCCCTTCCTGGGCAGAGCAAAGACCTCCAGCCCATCCCCAGAGCATGGATGCTTTTGGCCTTGCCCACCTAGGGTTCCTCCCCTCTCTAAAAGGCCACCCCAAATCCTCTCCCCAAAGACAACCGAGAGACACAGAGGCTTTAGAAACCAGGCAAGTTTTAAATATATGTTTGCACAATATTAACATTAAATATACATCATAAATAAGCCTTATAAATATAAAACTGATAAAAATTGATAAAAATCGATAAATTAGTCATGTTCCTCCAAGGAATTGGCCTCGCAGCTTCTGAGACCCCCTCTAGGAGGGCAATGGCTCCTGTGTGAGAAAATTCCAGGACTCACCACCAGGGGGAGCAGCCAGCAGCAAGGGCCCAAGACTGGGGCTTCCCGGCGCTGGGAGGTGGGTCTCCTTTTACGGAGACCTCCGTGTACACCACCCAGCACCATTTGCACCACATGTCCTCAATTGCAGATTTTAATATCCACCCTATGTCAGGGAATCCAAGCAACTGACAGGCAGTGGGGGCCTTGTACAGCCTCTAACTCCCTAGCTTCACAAAGAGAAAACAGGTCCAGAGAGGTAAAGTGACCTGCCCCAGGCCACATGGCGACTTTGGGCTGGGCTGGGACCTGAGCTCTATTCCCTGGACCCCCAGATCAGGGCTCCTGGGACACCCTGCCGCTGTTACAGCTGCCTAAAGTGAGGTCACCCAGACATCCAGGTGTCTGGCTTGGGACGTGATGAGGCATAGGAGGCCAGCTCAGGCTGTGACCTCCCCTTCAGAACCACGGAAAGGAGGAAGTCTGGGGGCAACGGCCCTGCAAGTCATAAGAGGGAAGGACTGGCAGGCCTCGGGGAGCAAGGCAGGGGGGCAGTCAGCCTGGCCATGAGTCAGCCTGTGTCATCAGACCCCTGAATCAATGGAAAGTCGGCCCCGCGTGGCCTGCCCGGCCACCCCACTGGGCCTGGGGAACTTGGGGCTAGGTGGGGTTCAACAGCCGGACTCTGTCCCCCAGCCTGGAGGAGGTAGCGGGGTCTGCCCAGCTCCTACCTCTTAAAGTGCACTTCTCAGTGGCGAGTAGTAGAGGGGAACAGGTTTGGGGACCCGGGAGGTGTCATCCTGAGATGGTTCCTCTCATCTACAGAGCACCTGCCGCATCCTTCACCAGCAAGGGGTGCTCCTGAGGCTACCGGGGCAGCTGTCCCCTGGGCATGAGTCTATTGCCTTTCCTGGAGGGTCTCGTCCTGCGCACCCCCTTCCGCAGGGCCTGGTGGGGGCTGTGTCTCCGGCTCCGGTTCGGGCTCTCCCCCCACTTGCTGAAGACCCGCCCCACTGAGTGCATGAAGCGATGGTAGCCACGCAGGAAACTGCAGCCCTCCAGCTTGCGCTGAAAAACATCTGAGGTAGGGGTGGGGGTGGGCGGCTGAGGGGTCCCCCGGCCGGCCTTCGTGGGCTCAGTCATGTCTGAGTTGTCCAGCAGCTGGGCCATGCAGTAGACGTTGTTCCTGAGCCCGAGGACATTCGGCCTCGCCATCTGCAGCTTCTCTAAGTCCTCTATGTTCAGCCCAGACCTCTCCAAGTCCTGGGCCTTGGGGAGATGCTGCTCTAAGTCGGCCAGTCTGTGCAGGACGCGGCCCAGTGTGGCATTGAGCGTCTGTAGGAAGCCCCGCCTGCCCAGCCCCCTCAGGGTCTCCTCGCTGGGGAAGGCCCCAGGGCTCTCTCTGCAGTGCTCTCTCAGTTTAGGAATATCCAGGCCTTGGATACGTATCTGGGGGGAACAGGAGGATCACAGGGTAAATGCTGAGGACCTGGACCACACTCACAGACAAGTCAGCCTTGGAATGCTAGACCTCATGCACCCCTATCCAATCTCCCACTGGACGGATCCGGAAACTGAGACCTGAGAGGGAAGAGGACCCCAAGATCACTACAGGCAAGGTCGGAGGGATGTTGGGGACCTGGCTGGTGGGATGCCTGTGGAGAATGGGGAGCTTCAAGAGGGTTGGACTCTGTCTTGCTCACTGCTACATCCCAGTGCCTAGACCAGAGCCTGGCAGGTGTGCAGGAAACACACTGAGTAAGCAGATGAGGGCGGTGGTGGTGTCTGGAGTCCCGCCCCGGGACCACAGAGCTAGGGAAGCTGGAGGGCCAGCCTTAGCTCCTCAGGGTTAAGGCTGGAATAACACAGAGACTCAGTTCTCCTACCTGGCCATATGGAGTGAGGCTGGGCCTGTCCTCCCTGCTTCTCACTCCCTTCCTTACCCCACAGTTCTCTGAGACTCAGATGCCACAAGGGCCCAGGTGCTTACATAGGGGTCCAGGAGCCTGCTGGTGTCCTGCATGAGATCTGTCTGCTTCTGGAGCTGGCCAAGGAGCATGCGGTACTCTTTCGAGCAGCTGCCCATAGCCGCCATGCTTGCCATGCTTGGAAACAGGAGTGCAAGGATCAGACCTAAGGCAGAGAAGAGGGGTGTCACCCAACTTGGCAAGGAAAGCCACAGATGGGAGCCTCGGGGAGGGGGTTGAAGAGGGCCTTGAAAGGTGCCTCCTTCATCCCGGACTTTGTGTAGTTGAGGCCGGGGGCTGGGCACTGTGTGGCATGGTGTGTGCACAGGTGTGCCCACCAAGGCCACCATCATCTCCCCAGTAAGTCGCTGCCCAGGGCCTGACACAGCAAGCAGTGGGAGGGACTGAGACAGTGGCTGCGATTTACCAAGTAGGTCTTTGAGCAAAGGCTGCAGCGCCCGACTGGATCCAATCCTGCCTACTGCACCGTTCTAACCTCGGGAGCTGACTCTCTGCAAGGTGGGACTGGCTCCCTGCAAGACCATTGGGCTAAGGACCGGCCACCAGCCTAGGACCCTGCCTTGTCAGCTGCTCTGGCCATCCAGGTAGATGGGCCTGAGAGGGCTTCAGGGCAGGCAGCCCGGGAGTGGCTTGTGCCCTCAGCTCTGTCTAGAACCAGGAGAGGCCGCCTTTTCAACCAGAGGCACAGCCTGGAACAGATGTGGGAGACCTTCCAGTCCATGTTCCCACTTTCCTGACAGGTAAACCAAGTCTCAGGAGAAGGTCCTGCACAGGTCATAAAGGCCAGGGCTCTCCCCTGACCTCTTATGCCTCCCTCCTCTCTCCATAAGTGGTTCCTTCTGTCAGACCCACCAGGGATGCTGTGAGCCTGTCAGAGGTGTTGGGGGTGGATACAGTTACCGCTCTCCACCACCCCCAACAGGGCACCAGCAGCCACGTGGTCGGAAGGGGCCTGTGGCGCAATGGCCCGGAAGGCAGTGACACCATCGTTCCCGTCCTAAGAACCATCCGGCCCTTTGGGGAAGACTGGCTGCTGGGGAGGGCCGAGGGGCCGGGCACCCAGGCGTAGCGACCCCAGGGCACTTTCGCCGCCTCCCCAGGTATCTGCTGCTGGGCTCTGGCAGGGGCCTGTGCGTGTGGCAGCGCACGTGGGACTAGGGTGTCTGTGTGGCTGTGCATCTGGGTCTGTGTGCAGCATGAGGGAGATCTGCTCCCTTCACCGTGGGGACTGTGGTCTGCATGTGGGGGTTCCTGGGCTGGTGAGATGCAGGGCTGTAGATGACGTCATATGGCTCTGTGTGCATGTGGCCATGTGGGTGTGGCTGTGCGTGCTGTGTGATTGTGTGGGCTCTGGGGCCCCCAGGGCCGGCTGACTTTCTATTCATCCGGGGCAAGCTGGAGGCCCCAAAATCCCTCCACACCTCACACCACTTCCCTGCCCAGCTTCTGAGCCTCCCTCTCCTGCCCAGCCTCTTCACCCATCCTCTTCTCTCACTCCCTGGTTCCCAGAGTTGCCTCTACATCTCGACATCACCTCCCCCTGGAAGCCTTCCAGGGATGCCCCTTCCCTACCTGTGGAGATGCCAGGTTCTCAGTGGACCGCTCTCTCTGCCTGACCTTCTGGCTTTCTCCCCTTCTCAGCATCCTTCTGCCTGGCGCCCGGCCTCCCCAGGTCCCAGAGGGCAGAGGGTGCCTCTGCTCCCCACCGGCGCCTGTGGACAGACCCAGCAGGCGGGTTCTGGCGGGGAGGAAGGAAGTACTTACTGAGCAGCGTCCTCTGTGTGAGCGGTACCCCCATGCTGGGTGCCCGTGCTCCGGCCCGTGCCCGCTGGGGGTGACACCTCTCGGCTGGGAGCCCTGCAGGCTGGCAGCCACTTTATGCCCGCTGGGGCGATTGGCCAACACCTCATGAGGTGGGTGGGGATGGGGAGGGGGGAGGGCAGGCCTTCTGGGAACATGACCCCAAAAACCAAAATTTCCACAGGCGGCCAATGGGCGCTGGGCGCGGTGTATGCCCGCTCCTCCTCCTGTTTTCTTCGAATTCGTTCTTCGAGGTCAGCCCTACGCCCAAGGATGATGTAAACCGCAGCCTCAGCCTTCCTGGGGTGAACAGGGAGGAAGAGGGTCCATGCCATCTTCGGGGAACTGGGCCAGGGATGGGCAGGAGGGACTTCAAGTTGGGCCCCTGGAGGCCCCAGGCCAGTCTCGGCCCAGGAGCCATTGGCCTCGCAGGACATGGTGGTTGGGGGCTGAGGGGGGCGAGACGTCTTCCTTCTTGAGTGCCCTTCCTGCCCTCTCGCCGGGGCTGTTGAGACATCTGCGAGCGGAAACCACCGGGCTCTGGGCACAGAGCCAGACGCAGGCTGGCAGCCCCGAGATTGTGGTTCAGGCCCCAGGACCAGCATCCCCCAGCCCAGCTCCTGACCGTCTCCTTTGCCCCGTTGTGCACCCTCTGCCAGGCCCACTCCCCAAAGCCAGGCCCTGTCTCTGTAGACAGGCTCCACGGGGGAGAACTGGACACTTGGAGCAAGAGAAACAGGAGGCCAGCATTCAAGCCTGCTGAGGTGCTGCATGACCTGAGGCAAGTCACGTAACCTCTCTGGGCCTCAGAGACCCCCAACTATAAAATGAGGAGAAAAGTCTTTCCCAGCCCCACTCACATGGTTGCTGCCATCATGGACATAAAAGGAAAAGACCTTTGAAGGAAAAAGCAAAGATGAAGGTCTGATTCCAAGTATTAGCTGTCAAGGGGGCGGGATGGGGGAAGGAGAAGATGGGGAAGCTGTGAGCTCAGAGGGGAAGCCGGGAGGGGGAGTTACCGCCTTGACGGTTGGGGACCAGGTTTCACTTTCTCTGAAAGATAGTGATCTTAGGCTGGTCCTCTGCGAAAGGGCCCTGGGAACAGCGCCTCTCTAGTCAAGTTGCGACTTTACTGTGGGGTAAACTGAGGCCCAGGTGAAGGCAGACAAGGAGGCCAAGAGGCCGGCCCAGGCCTATAGACCCTGCCTGGTGGTTTCAGTACATCTCCCAGGCCCAGAGGAGGGTCCTTGGCCTGCACCCTAAGGAACCCCGGGTGGGAGGAGGCCCTCAGGAGTCTGGGGAGTCATGGTGGGACCCCTGGAGGCTGCCAGGGAGGCCTGAGCTGCTCCAGCTGGAGGGAGCATGGGGTCTGGGGCACCTGAGCAAGGAGAGCCGGGGCAGCCAGAAAGGAGGAGGTTGGATGCACCCCTGTCCATGCCTGCTCCCGATGCCCAGTGTGACCGCCAAGGCTGTTGCCATCCATTCTCCCCATCACTCATTCATTCATTCGACAAGCCTTTATTTGGTTCCAGGCTGCACCAGCCACTCCCAGGTCTGAGGATGACGTAGTAGAGGCAAAAATAGGCGACCCCACGCCCAGGAGGCTGCTCTTCAGCCCCTACCCACTCCTGGGAACCCAGGCTGGGACTCACCACACCAGGCCTCATAACTCCCCCTCGCCACCCCCAGGGGCCAGTTCTGGATTCTCATCCTGAGAATGTCGCTTCCGCTAAAGTCCTCATCTCCATGCCCACCCCCACAATGCCGTTTCCTGGGGCCACGCCAAGAGGGGATCCTTCTGCATTTCACATCTCTGATCTCATCTTTTTTTCTCTTTTTTAAATGCAGGATCTTGCTCTGTCACCCAGGCTGGAGTGCAGTGGCACCGTCGTAGCTCACTGTGGCCTCCAGTTCCTAAGCTGAAGCAAGGCTCCCTGCCTCGGTCTCCTGAGTAGCTGAGACCACAGGCATGCGTCACTGTGCCCAGCTAATTTTTTTATTTTTTTGTAGAGACGGGGTCTCGCTATGTTGCCCAGGCTGATATAAACTCCTGGGTTTAAATGATCCTCCTGCCTTGGTCTCCCAAAGTGCTGGGATTACAAGTATGAGCCACAGCACCCAGCCACCAATCTCATCCTGCAACAGCCACGGGAGAGAGAGCTGCTGGGCAGAAACGCCTCAGCTCACTTCAGTGAGGAGCCCGAAGCTCTGAGAAGTTTAGGGACTGGCTCAAGGAAGGAGCGCCAGATCTGAGCAGAGGGCTCCAGGGCATTCTCAGCTACGGCTGACCGACCGCCATGCTTGGCGAGAAACAGCCACATGCCTTTATCTTATTCTATCCCCACTTTGGTCCTGGGAAGCCGTGCTGTCTCCTCATGGCACAGACAGAGGAGGTTGCTTTGTCTGAGGTCACCTACGAACTGTTAAGAGGAGAGGGGCATTTGACCAGGCATGGTGGCTCATGCCTGTAATCCCAGCACTTTGGGAGGCCAAGGCAGGTGGATCATTTGAGCCCAGGACTTCGAGACTGTGTCTTTACAGAAAATTTAAAAATAAATTATCGGCACATCGTGGTGCATACCTGAAGTCCCAGCTACTAGGGAGGTGGAGGCAGGAGGATCACTTGAGCTCCGAAGGTTGAGGCTGCAGTGAGCCATGATCATGCCACAGCACTCCAGCCTGGATGACAGAGCAAGGCCCTGTCAAAAAAAAAAAAAAAAAAAAAAACCCCACCCAGAAAAGAAGGCGTTCAAATGAGGGCCCCACTCTTTGCACATAGCTTATGAGGGTGTCAGCCACAGGGCCGAGGGCCCAGGGTCACTGAAGGTAAGGAGAGCGTGTAGATTATATTGCGAGGGCTCCCATAACAAAGTACCACAGACTGGGGGCTTAAATAACAGAGATTTATTTTCTCACAGTTCTAGAGGCTGAAGTCTGAAATCAAGCGCTCGTTCCCAAGGCCTCTCTCCTTGACTTGTCCATGACTGCCTCTCCCTGTATCTATCTCCCCTTCGTCTTCCTTCTGCTTGTCCATGGCCTAATCACCTCTTTTTTTTTTTTTTTTTTTGAGACAGAGTCTACGTCTGTCACCCAGGCTGGAGTGCAGTGGCGCAATCTCAGCTCACTATAACCTCTGCCTCCTGGGTTCAAGCGATTCTCCTGCCTCAGCCTCCTGAGTGGCTAGGATTATAGGAATGTGCCACCATGCCCGGCTAATTTTTGTATTTTTAGTAGAGACAGGGTTTCGCTATGTTGTCCAGGCTGATGTCGAACTCCTAACCTCAGGTGATCCACCTGCCTCGGCCTCCCAAAGTGCTGGGATTACAGAAGTGAGCCACCGCCCTTGGCCTTGCTTCTTCTTATGAGGACACCATTCAGATTGGATTAGGGCCCACTCAGTGACTTCATTTTAGCTTAATTATTCCTTTTTTCTTTTTTCCAAGACAAAGTCTTGCTCTGTTGCCCAGGCTTAAGCGTACAGTGGTGCTTTCATAGCTCACTGCAGCCTTGAACTCCTGGCCTTAAGCAATCCTCCTGCCTTAGCCTCCAGAATAACTGGGATTACAGGTATGTGCCACCACACCTGGCCAATTTTACCTTAATTACTTTTTTTTTTTTTTTTTTTGAGATGGAGTTTCACTCTGTCACCCAAGCTGGAGTGCAGTGGCGTCAGCTCGGCTCACTGCAACCTCTGCCTCCCGGGTTCAAGCAATTCTCCTGCTTTAGCCTCCCAAGTAGCTGGGACTACAGGTGCCCACCACCATGCCTAGCTAATTTTTGTATTTTTTGGGAGAGACGGGGTTTCACCATGTAGGCCAGGCTGGTCTCGAACTCCTGGCCTCAAGTGATCTGTCCGCCGCGGCCTCCCAAAGTGCTGGGATTACAGGCGTGAGCTACCGCACCCGGCCCTTGATTACTTCTTTAAAGGCTCAACTTCCAAATACAGTCACGTTCTGACACACTATGGTTAGGACTTCAACACATGAGTTCGGGGGGACTTCAACACATGAGTTCGGGGGAGACACCATTCGGTCCATGCAGCCTGCAAGAGGAGGGCATGACTGGAGGGCACAGAGGCTGGGGCCACCATCAGAGCATCCAGAGTGCAGTGATACACAGGAGGACAGGGAGTGACCTGGAGGTGAGGAGGCCTGGCTGCTGACCATCCCAGCCAAGCGTGAGGAAAGATGCGTCAGCGTTTCTGGTGAGGTCAGCAATCAATGACGTCCCTCTCACCAGCAGGAAAAGCTTGCAACATGGCCCGGCCAGTATAAATAGGCTCCCCGACCACAGGACCCGGGCTGTCCCCTCTTCCCGGGCCACGTCAGCCAGGCCCGCGTGATTTGGAGAGGAAGAGAGGACCAGCTTGGTTCCTCAGAACTGCTGCTTCCTCGCTTTCCGGCTCACCCTCCGGCTATGGGGGCCCTACCCCTTTAAATGCAAGGACAGAACCTGAGATGGCCTGGCAGGGCCAGGTCAAAACTGGAGGCTGGGGAGAGGTGCTCCAGTGGGGAGAGAAGGTGGCCCCCAATCTGCTGAGAGGGAGGTGGAGACCAACCCAAGTTCCATCTCAATCGGCCTGTGAGCCCAGTGTCGCTGGACGAGTCATATCCCCCTTCTGAGCCTCGGTTTCCTCTTTTTAAACAGCAATGACAGAACTGAACAACAATGAAAAAGACAAGCAATCCAATTTAAAAATGGGCAAAGGATTTTAATAGACATTTCTCAAAAAATAAAAATAAAAAGATATACAAATGGCCAACAAGCACGTGAAAAGATGCTCAACACCAGGGAAATGCAAATCAAAACCATGATGAGAAGCCATTTCACATCCACTAGGGTGGCTATAATCAAAGGTAGATGATCACAAGTCTATCAAGGAGATGGAGAAATGAGAACCCTGGGGCATTGCTGGTGGGACTCTACAATGAATGGTGCCGCCAAATTGGAAAACAGTTTGGCAGTTCCGCAAATGGTTAAACACAGAGGCCGGGTGCAGTGGCTCACGCCTGTGATTCCAGCACTTTGGGAGACTGAGGCGGGCAGATCACTCGAGGCCAGGAGTTTGAGACCAGCCTGGCCAACATGGTGAAATCCTGTCTCTACTACAAGTACAAAAAATTATGCAGGCACGGTAGCGGTCGCCTGCAGTCCCAGCTACTCGGGAGGCTGAAACAGGAGAATTGCTTGAACCTGGGAGGCAGAGGTTGCAGTGAGCCAAGATTGGCTGCCACTGCACTCCAGTCTGGGTGACAGAGCGAGACGCTGTCTCAAAAAAAAAAAATAAATAAATAAAAATAGAGATATCATATAATCAGCAATTCCACTCCTAAATATGCACCCGAGAACTGAAAACAGGCCAGGCGCGGTGGCTCACACCTGTAATCCCAGCACTTTGGGAGGCCAAGATTGGAGGATCACTTGAGCCCAGGAGTTCAGGACCAGTTTGGGCAACAAAGTGAGACCCCATCTCTACGAAACATTTAAAAATTAGCTGAGCATGGTGGCATGTGCCTGTGTGGTCCCAGGTCTCAGGAGGCTGAGACCGAAAGATCACTTGAGCCTGGGAAGGTCAAGGCTGCAGTGAGCCATGTTCATACCACTGCACTCCAGCCTGAGTGACAGAGTGAGACTCTGTCTCAGGACAAAAAAAAAAAAAGAGAGAGAGACTGAGCACGGTGGTTCACGCCTTTAATCCCAGCACTTTGGGAGGCCGAGGCAGGTGGATCACCTGAGGTCAGGAATTCAAGACCAGCCTGACCAACATGGTGAAACTCCATCTCTACTAAAGATACAAAAATTAGCTGGGCGTGGTGGCGCACACCTATAATCCCAGCTACTCAGGAGGCTGAGGCAGGAGAATTGATTGAATCTGGGAGGTGGAGGTTGCAGTGAGCCAAGATTGTGCCATTGCACTCTGGGCTGGGCAACAAGAGCGAAATGCTGAAAGAGAAAAGAGAGAGAGAGAGAGAGAGAGAGAGAGAAGCAGAGAGGGCAAGAAGAAGAGAGGGAGGGAGGGAGGAGGGAGGGAGGGAGGGAAGGAAAGAAGGAAGGAAGGAAGGAAGGAAGGAAGGAAGGAAGGAAGGAAGGAAGGAAGGAAGGAAGGAAGGAAACAAACGTACATCCACACAAAAACTTGCAAATGTTCACAGGAGCAATTATTCGGCATAGCCAAACAGCGGAAACAACCCAAATGTCTGTCAATAGAAAATGGTTAAACAAAATGCGTTCTATCCATACAAAGGAATATTAAGTCACAAAAAGGAAGGAGGCATTGCCACGTGCCACAACATGCATGAACCTTGAAACCATTATGCTGCTTGAAACAAGCCAGACACAAAAGGCCACATGTTGTATGATTCTGCTATGGGAAATGTCGGGAATAGGCACATGGAGAGACACGGAGAATACACCAGTGGCTGCCAGGGGCTGGGGCATCCAGGGCTGGGGAGAGACTGCTAATGGGCACGAGGTTTCTTTGGAGGTCATGAAGATATTCTGGAATTACATAGTGGCGATGGTTGCACAACCATGTGAATATACCCAAAACCCCCAAATCATACACTTTAAAATGATACATTTGATGGTAGGTGAGTTGCATCTGGATGTTTTAAAATGCAGTAGCAAATGCACCTTGTAGGACAGTCAGCAAAATGCAGTGAGGTGAGCACGTGAGCGCCTGGCACATTGGAGCAGGTGCTGGGTCACACTTACCCACCAGCCGCCGGGGCAGACGAAGGCGGGCATTTGCTTATGTCACACGGTGGCTTTGAGGGTGATTGGGAAAGGCGGTGTTACATAAACCCTAGGGTGAACAAGGAGCCACCAAGCACCCTCCCCAGAAGGTCATCGAGGTTACATTGGGATCGGGGGGGATCCCTTGGCTTGCAACATCCACGGAGTTCTTCTGGGACCTGGAGCGTCCACTCACAGGTGTAGGAGAAGGAACCCTGTTCTGTGCAGTAACCTCCAAATGTCTGCCTCACGGCAACTGAATC